GCAAAGCTGTAGGGCTGGATTTCTGCCCCCAAACCTGCCAGGAACTAATTCACAAACCTGGCAAAGTCAGTCAAGTTGTTTTCCAGTTAAAAATATCACAGGGATCAAGTGTCTAGGATTCCCATGGCCTTCCATCCTAAAGAGTTCACAGAACTAATTCCTGCAGTTCTCCATAGTGCAGTTCCTTTAATTCTTAGAACTTTTGGAAAAAGAGCTGAAATTCAGGATTGCTGCTGCTGGTGTGAAATTTTGAGTAGACACTGCAATGGAGGGAGAGGCCAGCAGATTTTATTTGGTGAGATTGTTGTTAGAGTTTGACATCAAGAGTGATGTTACAGAGGCTGTCACACATGTCAGGATGCTCTGTGGTGTTTCCAACATCAATGATTTTTCTAGGAGGTTTTAGAAATACAGCAGCTTCATGCAACTCACTGGGACATGAGACAAAGTGGATGGATGTTGGTATAAGCTGGTTTATAAAGTGTCTATTGAATCAAACACAGGATGATGCCATTTTTATTAAAAGCCACAAAATGCTTGAAGCCAATTAATACTCCCCTGCTTTACTAATGCCTCTGCTCATAAAATTAAATGGTTTCATTTAGCAAAACCAATTTTCAAGCCTTTTTGTCACATTTATAATGACTTTAGCATGAGGAGGCTCATGTCTTGCACACAAAATACAGGTTTTTTTGAAGAGAGACGGTGCATAACAAGGTGCCACATGTGGAATAAGAGGAAGGTTGCTCTTCTGAGTGAACAACTGGCTACAAATAGGGAATAAAAGGTACAAATAACTGTGCAGTTTCTGCAGTGAAGAGAGATTAACCTGTCTTGGGAAGCTGTGCAGTTCAATATCCTCACAAAAGGGCTGAAAAAAGGCGATGGTGACGCACCAAAACCCACTGAGGGTTTGGAGTCATTCCAGGTGAGCCAAAGTAGACACGGCTACAAAAAAGTTGCAGAAGAATCTGACAATACCACAGAAAATAGCTGCTGAAATTCCAAGTCAATAAAAGTCAAGTGTGGGCGCAATGAGAGGGTTTAAATTAGCCCGGGAAAGAGGTTCTGGCGTCATTGCAGATGGTGCTTTGGAAACATCTGCTCCGTGCTCAGCAGAGGTCAGGAAGGCAAGTGGAATGCAAAGAATTGCTGGGAAAGGGATGGGGAATGAAAGAGGAAATGTAAGTGCAGGGCTGAATAAATCTGTGGGGCTCTTGAGCACAGTGGAATTCCAGTCACCCTGGTGACTGCAGTGGGGAAGGAGAGCTGGAGAGATGCAGGGAAGGGTGAGAAGGATGCCCTGGGTTATGGATTGGGAGTGAAAGGCTCTGGGTCTGGCTGAAGACATGAACGGGCAGGATTCAGGTGTAAAATCCGGATTTCTGTGGAGAGAGGGGAGAAGGAATTGTATTAGGAGGCACCAGGATGGTCAGAGGGATGGAGCATCTCTGCTGTGAGGAGAGGCTGAGAAAATTGGGGTTGCTCACTCTGGGGACAAAAAGGATTTGGGGTGCCTTTTGGACCTTCCAGTGCCTGAAGGAGCCTACAGGAAATGTAGAGAGGGACTATTTATGACAACCTGGAGTGGCAGGACAAGGGGGAATGGCTTCAAACTGAAAGAAAGTAGGTTTGGATTGGATGTTAGGAAGAAATTTTTGCCTGTGAGGGTGGTGAAGCCCTGGCACAGGGTGCCCAGAGAAGCTGTGGCTGCCCCAGGATCTCCGGAAGTCTCCAAGGTTGGACAGAGCTTGGATCAAGCTGGGATAGTGGAAGGTGTCCCTGCAAATGGCAGGGGGTGGCACTGGATGAGCTTTAAGGCCCCTTCCAAACCCAGACTGTTTGGGATTCTGAGATCCAGTGTTTTGTGACAGAGGATGTGATGACAAATTTGGTCATCAGTGGTCAGGCAGAGGTTTAAAGCAAACAACAGGAAATAAACTTTCACAATCTGCAAAGAATTAGGAAAATCATCAAACACATCTTTTACATGCCGAAAGTACAGGTTGGCTGACAAACTTGTAGTGCTGAGATTCCCAGTGCTGACTTTGGCACCTCCATGATCCTGGAGGTCTTTTCCAACCTTAATGATTCTGTGATTCCTTGTTCCTGTTCCAGTGTCCCCTCTGCAGCTGGGTGAGATTTGAGATCTGGTTTGGTTTGGCCCCTCCCTGGTGGAATCTGACAGGATTTTTGGGCTGTTAAAGGGTCTCTTGTGATGTTGCAGTGACTTGGCAGTGCTGGGTTAACAATTGGAGTCATGATCTTTCAGGGCTTTGATCTCTCCTATGACAAAAGCCACAGAAAGCCTCTGAAGGAATAAGTTCTCTCTGAATTGGAGTGGAATATTGGAGGGGAAAATGATCCAATGATTCCTTAAAAATTCCCTGGCCTGAGTTAAAAATCCCAAGGGTTAATTGCAGTACAGTAATGAGAGGTCTTATTGGATGGCTCAAGAATTTTGAGACAGAGAGGACTAAAAATTCTTCTAGAACAGGATTACCATCAAATTATATCAGCCTCAGTGGCAGGAAATCAGTCCAGAGTGAGCTGATTTACACTTGCTACAACCAGCACATCCTGAACTTCCCCATCTCTCCCAGTTATGTTTTTCTCTTCACATCAACACTGTCAGTGCAAAGAAAATAATTTTCCCTTTAAAATGCAAACATCCAAGGTGGGATTTGGCAGAGTGTCAGGGCCAGGGGTTTCTACTGACAACAGCACCAAAGTGCAATATAAGGACTCATCTTGGTTTCTGCTTTATTCAGGTTTTAAAGGGCTGGGAAGGGATAAATGATGTTTATGCCCTCTTGTGGTGCCACATCGAACAGAATGGATTCCCTAACTGACAAAGTGAAGCCAATGATGGAAAAGTCTCAGGTTAAAAATCTGTAACAAACTCTGTGGAAAACACAGTGGAAAAATCTCTCCCCCTCCGACAGCATCCTCATGACTCAGGGAAGGGGGAGAGGCTAATTTTGACTGCATTTGCAGCAGCAGGTAAATGAGTAATGGCCATGATGGCAGAGTTTGTGCCATCTTTCAGCAATGAAGATCATTCCAGAGTGTTTTCTCTGTGCTGGGACTGTTGGGAAGTGGAACAGTGCTTTGTAAAAGGAGCTGTGTTGACACTTCTTTGAGTTTGGTGCTGTTGATTTGTTGTAGTGCAAACCTTCACGTGTTTTATCTTCTTTGCTCACATGTCTGACAGGTGAATAAACTGATTCCCTTGGGACAAAGCCTGTCCCAAAGATGGAAAAAAGTTGGTTGGTGATTTTACATGGGGAAATAAGGCTAGGTTCCTGTGAAACGGAGCTTGTGATCCCAATTCCTTGTGAGGGAACACAAGGGAATTAATGAGTCAACACCTTCCTAAGCTGTGCTGATAAATCTGGTGCAGGGCTGGGAACTCAGGGCTCTCCAGGCTGGTCAATCATGGATTTTGTATCCATCTTATCACTTCATTCCTGACTGAAGACTGAACACAGCAGAATGTGTCCTTTAGACAGTGAAATTGTGGGAATAAATCAGAGTAGTGCTCTCCAAAGCCCAGCAGCTGCTGTCAGGCTATGGGCAGGGCTTGGCTGTGCTGAGGCAGGATCTGGGAAACCCCGGTGGGGAAAATTTGGAAACTTTTTGTCCCAAATAATCACCTGTTGTTTAAATGCAGTATTTCCTTTGCATGTCATCCTTGCCTCTCCCCAGCCATGTAGCAGATGAAAGGGGAAAGGAATAATTTCCTTTCCACTTCCAGGATGAGTAAACTCGCAATACTGGGTTTAAATGAAAGTACTGGGTTTAACTGGGCTAGGCTTAAGAGGGACTCTCTAACAGGATGGAAAATATTGGAATGAGGATCTCCACCCCCAAAGATCTTCCATAACCAATGTTTTTGGGATCAAGGCTGCTACTATTCATTCTATCATGATGAAAGAGGATGGACTTGATGACTGATGGCAGATTCACAATTTTGTGATTCCATGTGATGATTTCCCTTTATTTATAGTTTATATATTTAATAGTATGATGAAGTAAAAAATATTTTTCTGGGAATCCTAAATGTTGACCCTTCAATCAATTCTGTCTACATCCAGTATTTATAACTACACTTTGCAACAGGACTCTGAGATTAATTAAAGTGCTTATTAGGTTTTAGCATGGACTTTAGAGCACAAGTTATGTCCACAATGAGAAGAGAATTGGCTCCAAAATGTTGATGTTTACCAGTTTCCTTAGGAAAAGACAATGTAATGGGGAAAATGTCACAGCGATTAATCTTATAAAGAAATTCCCTCTGTCAGAAACCTCTCAGGAGTTTCAAATTCAGCTAGGGGATATCAGAAAGCAATTAAAGTCTAATTTAAAATCCCCACCCACATTCTGTCTTCTCTTCCTGCCAAGTGGTTATTGCTCCTGGTACATGTATTGGCAAATCTTTCCGAAATGAACCATAATTTGCCTTAAAAGTTAAAACTTTCTGGTCAAGATGGAACTTTTCTCTTTGAAGAATGAGTCTGCAGTGACTCTGCGGAAAAGAAAAAAAAAACCAACGAAAAACCCAAATTCTCTGATTTCCCAAGTACATCCTTGAGGTTGAAATTTCACCCAGAAATTCTTCTTGGACAAGGACATTGGGGGTGGATTTTGAAGCCAAGGCACTTTCCAGGGGAGGTTCCTGGATGCTGCAGCTTCCCGGGATGGATCCCAGTGTGTTTTCCCTTTGTTTTCCACTTCCACTGATGGCTCCACATCACTGCCTGGGTTAATAAAGAGAATAAAAGTGTGGCCGTGGCAGATTAAACAAATGAGCCATTAAAAGGGGACGGTTCCCTCCCTCTCTGTGCCCACAATGCCTCCAAGCAAAACACCACGAGAGCAGGGATGAAAAGCTTTCAGGGGTGAGCTGGGAATGTGAGACGCCTGTGGCTCCTTCGGGGAGGAATCCTAACATCATTCGCAGCAAACCACTAATGGCTTTCCATGGTCTTTCCCGACAGGTGTTGACGGAGGAAGGCTTTGGCCCCATCACCACGGAGATCCGGGAGGCTCCTGAGTTTTATTACGCCGAGGAATATCACCAGCAGTACCTCAGCAAGAACCCCGGCGGGTACTGCGGCCTGGGAGGGACGGGGGTTTCCTGCCCCATGGGCCTCAGGAAATAGCCTGTGCCTGCTCCACCACCTCCTCTTCATTGTAGGCAGCTTGGGAAAAAAAAGACCAGGAACCTCGGTGGATGTTCCCGCAGCATCCGTGGATAAAGATTTGGGAATCTGCTGGGGAGGCTTTCCGTAATCATAAGTTACATCAAAATCCAAAGTAGAGGCAGGAATTGCTCCCATCACAGCTTCTTGCTCTGTGCAGTTTCCTTGTCATCTGGAGAGGTGGAAAGAGATCCAAACTTCTGAAGTTTGGCTTGAAATGCTGTTAAAAGGGTGAATTAGGAGGTGGTTGCACCCGTAGCTGCTTTGCATTTCCAATGCCTTTGGGCTTTTTGATTTTCTTGTGTTAATTAATTTCCTGGTGGTCCCAGAGCTTTGCCTTCTGGAGATGTGGTTGGGTTCCTTACCTGTCACAGCCCTGGAATTTGATGTCTTTGGGAATGATGAATTGATCAGATCCATGATTCTCCTACCACAACTCCACTTTCACAGCATTTAGTACCACCTGTAGTGCCTATTTTCTGAAATGCTTTAGCCAGAAAAAGGTCAAAATTGCAATGTGATGTTTCTTTTTGACAGTTCCAAGAAGTGAATAAACACAAAAAAAAATCAGTTTTGTTTCCTGCTCTGCAATAAATGACAGAACAAGAAAAGATCAGTGTTCTCTGTGATGTGTTCCAAGTGGATATCTGGGTAGATCTAAAAAAAATTTATCAAATCTTATAAAATGCTGTAGTTTTCTAATTAAACACCAGGTTTAAATCTGTATCATCAGGCATGACAGCACAGAGGAGTGGAATTATCCCTCTGATTAACTATTTGTACTTTAATAACTTGGGGAGCCCCCACCAAGAGCAGACTCATGGCAAATGTAACTTGGGGCAGTCTCCAGTGAGTGTGCAGTCAAAACAGCAAGCCAGCCAGAAAGGGGAAAAAAATCAATTTTGGGTTTATTCACGGGGTTCTCAGAGTGCAGACTCAAAGCTGCAGACAAAGGATGCAGGGATGCACAGTTTATCCCATATGGAAAGGGGATCCTATGGGTCTAGAGCTCAAGGAGTGAGCCAGTTTTGGGGGACAGATGGTGGGACTCAGAGACACAATTCCACAGCTCCTCCTTCTCCATGGCACTGCTCTCCATAGCTTGGTTTCATGTTTCCTGCTCACCAGCTCAGCTTTAAAGCTCAAAAAGGCCCAAACCAGCTCCCTGAACTTCTCCTGTACGTGCACAGCAGAGCAGATCATGCATGGAGAGACTGGAAATGTTCCCCACAAAGTCAGTGTTTGGGGTTGTAAATCCAGTGCTGCAGCCCCACCCACTGTTTCCAAACATGGGGAGTAAGTGTGTGCCAGAAAAATCATCTCCCCATCTTTCCTCGTGCTCCTCAGCTGATGCTGAGCTCATCCCAGTCACAAAATCCAGGGGAAATCTGTCCTCTTGGCAGACTGCACCTGGGCCAGGCTTACAGGAGCTGCCTCAGGCAGGATTGCCCCATTGGGCTCTTTCTGGAGGTGCCCCAAAATGTGCCCACAGTGCACTCAGAATTTTTGTTTCTGTGGTAACTGATCCTATCCCTAACCTGTGCTGCCATGGAGTTTTTTTCAGTGCTAACAGACAAGTAAACCAGCACTTGTGTCTCATTTCCTTGGCATGAAGTGACAGGGAAGCAAAAAAGAGAGGGAAATAAAGTCTTACCCTCATCTTATGCCTTGTCAGCCTCTGTGAAATCCAGACTCCAGTGGGACAATTCCTGATGTGCTCCAAGGCAAAGCATTTCAGGAGTTGAATCATCTGGGGGCTCATAAAGTGTCTCCTGGTTCCCTTCCTTTCCCTCCCCTCCCACTCTGTGCTGTAGTTACTGTTTTGAAACAAACTGGAAAGTTTTTGGGAAAAACTCTTACTATAGATATCCTCAAGTCTGAGCCTGGCTGAGGATTTTTTAAAGTCCTGTCCTGATGGAAATGATGTTGGTCTAAAAATCACCATAATGGCTCCATTGATACTACAATTGGCCCACACGAAAATATTTTGGTACCACAGAATTATTTACTGACATCTTTAATTTGATTTTGATTTGAGAGTTTTGGTTGGGCACTCTGAAAATTGTCCTTTGACAGAGATGCCGCTTTTTCCTACAAACACAGAATCCCAGAGTTGTTTGGGGTGGAAGGGACCTTAAAGATTATCCAGTCCCACACCCTGCCATGGGCATGGACACCTTCCACTATCCCAGTTTGTTCCCAGCCCCATCTAGCCTGGCCTGGAACATTTCCAGGGATGGAGCACCTCTCCTGTTTAAGTACATTCAAGCCAATGCCCCAGGCGTGGTTTAACTGGAGAGAAAATTACCAGGAAATGAGAAAATTAACGTGATGATAGGGTTTGGAGATGAAGTTGGAAGATGATACAGCTCCTGAGGTCTTCAAAGATGGTTCAAGATCCAGCAAGGGCTGCAGCACCCAGCTCATGAAATCCTCCATTGCATATCCTGTGAGGTTAGCCCGGGATACAGACAGGAATTCCACTTTGTCCCTGTGAGAGCTAGAGGAAATCACAAACCTTTTGGAAACCCCTGAGCTTTTCCTCAGTGACCCTTTTGCCTTGGGAAGGAGCACCCAAGTGCTGCACCAACAGGAGGAGTGGGTGCTGTGATGTCACCTGGGTTGTGTTGACATGGAATGCAGGCGATGTCCTGAGGCATCTGCAGAGGCATCGCTTCTCTGAGAGCTGTGGGAGAGTGTTGGACCTGGGTGGATTGAGATGCTGCTCCTTACCCTCTCCTGTTTAGCTTCCCTGACCAGCACTGTCCAGGCAGGTTTTGTTTCTCAGCATTCTCAGCACAGAAGAGCTGCAGAACATTCAGAGCTGGGTAAGTGAAATGGGTCTGGGTTTATTCCTTCTGCTGAGGGAATAAAGGTGTGGCCTGTGCTGCAGCCTGATGCACCTTCCACTCCCTAAACCAGGATTTTATCCCACCTGCCTATGGGACATGGTCAATGTCCCTCCCACCCAAAATTCCTGGGCAGTGCTTGGCAGAGTTTAGGTTTGGGGAGGGGACAGGGATGTCACCTTGGGAGAGATCAAATAACAGATACAGGGAGGGCATTCTCACCTTTTACTCTGCTGAGACCCCACCTGCAGAGCTGCTCCAGCCCTGGGGCCAACAGCAGAAGGACATGGAGCTGCTGGAGAGAGTCCAGAGGAGGCCACGGAGCTGCTCCAAGGACTGGGGTCCCTCTGCTCTGGAGTCAGACTGGGGGTGTTCACCTGGAGAAGGATCCAGGGAGACCTCAGACCCCCTTCCAGAGCCTAAAGGGGCTCCAGGAGAGCTGGAGAGGGTTTTAGGACAAGGGATGGAAGTACAGGACACAGGGAATGGCTTCCCACTGACAGAGGGCAGGGAAGGATGGGATATTGGGAAGGAATTGCTGGCTGTGAGGGTGGGGAGGCCCTGGCACAAGTTGCCCAGAAAAGCTGTGGCTGCCCCTGGATCCCTGGAATTGTCCAAGGCCAGGTTGGATGGGGCTTGGAGCAGCCTGGGATAGTGGAAGTTGAAGCAGGAATGGAGTTGGAAAAAAGATTTTTAAATCCCTTCCAACCCCAACCATTCTGTGATTCCCTGTTTCTCTGATTCCATGGATATTTCTGTTTCAGTGCTCAGGGATGTCCTGCCCCTGTCCAGCACAGGCTGTGACACTGCTGAATGTGTCCAAAATGTCCCTTTTTGTACCCAGGCTGTGGCCTCCGACCATCCTACGAGTCCTTCCAGAAGACTGGCAAGAGGATTGGCACAGGGACAGACGTTAAGCCTGGGGAATTCCCATGGCTCGTGAGCATCCAGAGCCATGGGAAGCACATCTGTGGAGGCACCATCATCAGTGCACTGTGGATTTTAACTGCAGCCCACTGCTTTGCAGATGAGCTGTGAGTGCTCCAGGGGTGGGAGGGCAGGCCAGGCACAGGGGAGGTGGGGGGTGACATTCCTCCTGGTGGGTGCAGGATGTGCACCTCCTCCTGTGCCACATTTGTGTGACTGAGCCCTAAAAACAGGGGTTGTGTCCTCTAGGGGAGACAGGCCCATTTTTGAACACAGAAATGTGCAGAAATCTGCATAACCATTTCCAATGCCTTTGGACTTTTTGATTTTCTAGGCTTAATTAATTTCCTGGTGTTCCCAGAGCTTTGACTTCTGGGGATGTGGTTGGGTTCAAGCAGAAGGGGAATACTTTGAGGAATGTGGTTGGGTTCATCCTTCAGTACTTGGAGGGATGTACTGAGCAGCCTTGGATAAAAGCCCCTAATTCTATTCTGATGGCCCCAAGCATTTATTGTGCACCTGTTTCAGTACCTTGTAAAAGGTGATGCATTCCATTCTAGCTCATTATATCCCCCAAATTACCTTTGCTTTCACACACCAAACACCTTTACCTCATGGAGACTCTGAATTTAAAACACCAAGTTCTGGATAAATCAACTCCATGCAGTGTCTGGGGGCAGAGTCCAGCCCTCTGTGAGTCCCCTCCAAAATGTGGCAGCCGAGACTGCTTGGTGACAAATGACCTGTGTCAGCACAGCCTGGAGCAGCTGGGTCTGAGCAGCCAGCCCAGGGCACAGAGATCCAAAAGATCCAGACCATTCCATCTGCTTGGTAGTGACTGGGTTATTTATAGCCTGCATTCATATTCTACCTCTGCACCTCTTCCCTGGAAATCATCCTTTCCTAGGAGTGAGAGTAAATTCCTTGGGTATTTATAGCTGAACTGCCTAAGCCACCATCATGCCCTGCTCTGGCATGCTCTCCATAACCCAAATCCTTCATGTTCACCTTGTCCTGCTTTGTTTTTAAGGCCACCAGATCTGAGGGTGGCAGTGGGGGGAGTCGACCTCAACTTCCCGCTGGAGGAGCACAACCCAGACAGCCTGATCCTGCACGAGGAGTTCAACAGGACCAGCCTGCAAAACGACATTGCCCTGATCCTGCTCAGCAGTCCCATCAAGTTCAGCATGCAGAAAATTCCCATCTGCCTGCCCTTCGTGTGTGACATGGACACGTGGCAGCACTGCTGGGCTGCTGGCTGGCTGGGCACAAGTGCAGGTGAGGTGCTGGGGGAGATGCGTTTGCTGATGGAAAATGGGATTTATCTATTTAAAGTGGCTGTCCTCTCCCATGAAGGGTTTCCCAGGCAAAGTTTCAATCTCCACCTTCCTGGTTTATACATCCAGACCACCCCCAGCCTCTGCACATCCACCAGTTCCCTGTTCAGGGCAAGAACCAGTCACCAACAGACCCCCAGAGCAAAATATGGGACTTATTTTGGCACTACATCCAAACTTTGGACCTCATTTTGGCAGCCAGATTAAGGCAAGCTCCACCTTGGTGGGTAAATAAGAACAGAATCATGGAATTATTAGGGCTGGAAGGGACCTTAAAGCTCATCTTATTCCAAACCTCTGCCCACTTCCACTGTCCCGGGTTGCTCAGAGCCCCATCCAGCCAGGTCTTGAACACTTGTCACCTTGTAGGACCCTTGTGGGTAACTTCAGCTTGGGATATTCTATGAATCACCCAGTTAGGCTGGGTCTAAAATGGTCTGGACTAAAGGAAATGGAGGTCTGGGGCTGTCTTTGGCTTAATGCCTCTATGAGCTGGAT